TTCGATTCGATTCTATTCGATTCTGTACATCAATACGTACATAGCTGTATCAGCTTTATTTGATGTTTAGCAATTTCCTGATTTATCCCTCATGTCATTTCCGTTTTGCATTTGTATGCGCTGACCACCGTTCGACCCTCAGGCCAAAAATAGAAAAAAAAATTTCACAAATATGATAAGCATTGAAATGAAATTCTATGATTTCCCTCCAAATCGACGGGATGTGTGCTTGTGTGTATGGTCTACATGATTACGTGTTTTTCAATGGCACTTCCTGCTTAGTCGTTGACTTACTAGATATACCCCACCGCCCATGACTTCTCCTCGTTTTGTGGCTTTTGTGATTTGATTTATATGTTTATATTGCAGCTTTTCTCTTCCATTTCTGTTGTTCCGGCTGGCAAATTATTGGTTTGATTGGCCTAACAAAAACATATACTTACGTTAGCTGTAAAGCGCACCTTTATTTGGGAGTTTCGCTAGACAAAATAGTATATTTATTACACACTTATGTTTTACAGATTTGAAATATACATATTAAACAAACTTTTTAAAATACAAAACTATTCAAAAAAAGAAAAAAAGCAATAGCTGACTGCCTCGGCTATTAGATACTCGTTATTCAAAGGAAGGAAGTGCAAAAGAGATGGAGATATGCATGCAGAAAATCGGCTGTTTCCGAGACTGCGCACTTTGCTTGCTTATATCTTTTTAATGAGTAATCTGATTTAAACAATATTTGGCATGTATATGGGTACTGATAATCAAAACATAATCTCATTTACACTTCTACAAAATACTTAAAAATATGTTTTTATTCTCGTATTATTTCAGACCACTTTAAGTACTTAGACAATTTACAACTCATTGGAATTGAATGTCTGAGATCGCTTAATTAAATGCGGCATCATTATAGAATCAATTGAATTTAAATTTACAAGCCGCAGAACACACATGAAATTCTATGGTATGCTAAATTCCCAACCTCGCCCACGAAAGCAAATGGGGCTCATCACATTGTAGCCAGTTGCCTTTATTTTTTGGGAAACATTATTTTTATGCAAAACATGAACGTTTAATAGAACGCTCTACGAATTTTTAATGAGCTGCTTCAGGAGGAGGAAAAAAGTGTGGGCATGAGTAGATTTTCCTCCCCCTTTTTTTTTAGCATTTTACATGTTTTATGAGCTTTTCCCTCGCTCTTTTTTTTGTGTGGGCTCAGGTAAACCAAGCCAATTTCGGCTGGCATCTCCACCTGCTTTTGGCCATGCACTCTGGGCTCCACGTACGGGTAATCAAATCAGTTGGTGAGGCAACTGCGTGCGTCACATAAATTTGCGCACATTTAGCAGATAATGAGCACAATTAGCAAATGGCTCTCGTTGGGTTGGTTGAGATTAGTTGCAAATTCGAGGAACTTGCAGCAGCATTGTATGCATTAGTTATACAGATTGTTGGTAAAAGCTTTTCTTACCTTAGTTCCAATGTCCAGTCAAATCATTCGTAGCCATATCTCAAGTTGTCGCTCAGGAACAACCGCATTGCACCTAAGTAAATTATCGTGTTTCATTTGCCAGGCCATCAGTTGGCCACCCACTTTTGTCGCCCGACACTTGGCAACACTTAGTCACTTGGTTTCATGAGTAAACACATCTTATAAATTATTCAAAAACGCAAAAAAGCTATTTGCAACACTTTACCGTTAGCAATGCCAGCGTAGCTGCCGTTAGCATACATTTTTTAGCATTTCTTCGATGTTGCTGGTGTTGCTGTTGCTGCTGCTGCGGATGTTGCTGCTGCTAATGTTGCTGCTGTTGGTGTTGCTGCTGCTGCTGCTGCTGTCCCCGACAATCAGTCAAAAACTTTTGGCGCAACATATGCGTGGGAGGAAGAGAGATGATGTCGCACTGGAAAGCAAAGGAAGTACCTGGCTACCAGAAGCAGCAAAAGCAGGAGCAGTAAAAGCAGCAGCAGCAAAAGCAGCAGCAGCAAAAGCGGCAGCAGCAAAAAGCATGACAAATGAACAAAAAAAAAAGGGAGAGAGACCCCAGAAGATGGGTTCGGAAACGAAAAGGCGGGAAAAAATATCGTCGTAGTATATATTTCGGAACCCTGGGAACTGAACTGAAGTGGAGTGGCATGGAGTTTCGGCTGATAAAGTGGCTCGTCTTACCGGCAGCTCTGGGCCAAGTAAAAACCTTGCTGTCCGGTCGAATTCACTACCACTCGACTTCTTGGGCCCCGGGCTACTTTTCTTCTTGGCCTTCGTGTTGTCGCCGCTAAGACTTCCTTCAAATATTTAACTTAAGTAAGCGTTTGTAATTAATTTCACGCTTAATACTGACACTTTACCACACTTTTCAACACTTTTTCGGCGCCCACGCTTCGGCTCTCGCTTTTATGGCATAATAAACACGCATTTTATAATAAAGTCAAAAAAATTGACTGCATAATTTATGTGCCAGGAGCGAGGAGTTTGCGGCAAGCGTTTTCCTCCATCGTCTTTGCTTTCTCCCGCTTGGCTTTTCGCTTTTTTTTACGGGGTAATTGATGTTCTTTACCCTGCAATTAACCCCCACTACAGATCCCCCTTCCCAACGAAAGATTTATGTCCTGACGAGAGTTATGTGACGAATTTTCTGAGAGAATTCTCAATTACACGCAATTAACTCGAACAATTTTCACAATAAAATGGTACAAAAAACAAAGACAAGCCGCAATCGAGGTAACATTACCTTTACATGGATAAAAACCGTTAAAATTACATAATTCTGTTTGATTTTTATCTTTTAAAATTATATATAAGTCATTATAAAGGACTTATAGTATAGGTGTTTACGAGTATGATATGAAAATTTTACATTTTAAACGGAAATAATATATTTTTACCGATTTTTTCAACATACCAAATTAAACTAATTATAAAAAATCTAAATAGTTTAATTGAGATAATTAGAATTTTACATATTAAATTTATTATTAATTATTCTGATCAAATGGATACCCCTCGATACCTGAGAATTTATTTACTTTACATGTATCAAAGGAATTTAATTTAGATAATTATTATAACAATTATTACGCAGCATTTTAGTGTTTATTTTATAGCAATAAAAAACAACGTTTTTCAGGTACTACAAACAGGTTAATTTTTCCACTCGAATGAACAATTTCGATGCTTTACCATCTGTACCACGCATATCGATCATATTTACAGAATATTCACAGCACAAAAAGCAACTGCAAAAAAGAGCTGCATTACATGCAATTCGATTATTCAACTTTCTTGTTGCTTCGTGTGAATTATGTATGAATCAAGGAATACATCTGAAACCCTTGCTCTGCATTTTATTAACTCCTGCCATGTTTAATTAATTGCTGGCCAGGCAATTAGCATGTGGGGATACAGAGGACCACTCCCCAACGTGTCAGCTGCAGCAAATTGAATTTTGTTAAAATGTAAACTACATATGTGCTCAGTAGTGAGCATATATTTGTGGATTCCGCAATTGTTTACTGTCTGGCAGGCAAAATGAAACAATTAGTGCCTACCCGCACTGACACTCGCCTGGTCCCGAGATCCTGTAGAATGTATCTTGTCCCTGGCCCTATCTTGTGTAGATGAGCCTGGTCCTTGGTCCTTGGCTCTACAGAATATTTATGCAATTCATTTTTGTCTAAACTAATAAGTTGTTGCTGTAACTGCCAGTCGAGCAGGTTGTTTTATCTCATAATGAAATAGTAGACTGACTGACTCTATGCAAATAATGCAGATACACATGTCTCGGCTTGGATTTGGCCTGGCTCCGAGTTGTTAACATATTCATTGAATCTGAATCAACTTTTCCACTCCCATCAGACTGGGCAGCTGTGAAATATGACTCCTTATCCTTGCCCAAGCACTGGACTTGTGTCCCTCTTTCCAAGGCCTTGCTCACTTAACTTGTGGAAACCTGTGTAATTGAACATTATGCAGCCTATCTAATTGGGTTTCGTTTTCCTCTGCAAGTTAAAATATCCCCCAAAATCATGAAGATTGGGTAACATAAACTGTTTCAAAAATAACGAACTTTTATCTACATTCTGTGATGTTGTTTATGGTTTAGTTTTTCATTTTGAAAATATGTTTTTAGCTTTATATTTAATCTGATCTACATTTGTGAACAATATATATGCACACCAGTAATTAAACAGATTTATTTTTAATCGGATAAATGGATTTATTTTATTTCCTTGAATATTAATTTACAAAATCGTTTCATATTACATATACCTATATATATTTAAATGAGTTTTTGTAAACTAAAATCAGTTCATCAGAAATGCAGATGAAAATAATAAACCTGGTGTAATGTAATCAAGATGAAGATGTTCTTTTATTAAGATATAATTAACTTTTTAGAACTTGTAAGTTGAAAACTTTCTTCAAAATATAACGACATTCGCAAGTTTAAAATTTTTTTATTTTGCTCGAATCAAGTTGAATTGGATTTATTTAAGTACATTGTATGTACAAATAAACTATTAGTTCAGTCCTTAGTGTATATTTATCAAAAAGTTGTTAAATAAACTCAATTTAACTTTTCTCTTCTCACCATTTCGTTCTTATGTTGATACCAACATGTACTTACACGGTTTTTAAGAACGAGTTTTCTCAATTTAAGAACAATGTTCTCAATTCAAGAACAATGTTCTTGGACACTTCTCTCTGTGTTTAACAGGTATTTAAACAGGTTTTTGCAAAAAAATTGTAAATATCTCATGAGTAAATAGATAAAAGCCCCCAATTGCGAGTCACCAAGGTTATTGGGTCAAAGTCAGATACGGCGACTATGACACCTTCTTGAGTAAGCAAATGGTTGCGATAAGACGAATTTCACCCCAATTGGCGAACGGCAAACAGATTTAATTACAAAGTCTGTTGACAAACCGATAAGTTCCGACCCACTGTCGATGATATAAAGCCGACTCGCGGAAGAACTCTTCACTCAGACGGTGCAATGTACTCGCCGGGATTTTTATGGAGTTTAGTGATTCTTGTGGCACTTGTCGGGGCCACGCCCACTCCCGGAGACGGGCGGATTGTGGGCGGCGAGGTGACAACCATCGGGGAATTTCCGTATCAAGTATCCGTCCAGTTGAACGGACAGCACATATGCGGAGGAGCGGTCATTGGAAATCAGTTCGTACTGACGGCGGCCCATTGCTTCGAGGATGCCCTGAGCAACAGCGATTACACGGTACGAGTGGGTTCCGGCGAACATGCGAGTGGGGGCGATGTGCTCAGCCTGCGGCAGGTGATCACCCACGGCGACTATAATCCCCAGAGCCACGACAACGACCTGGCCCTGCTCGTCCTGAAAGCCAGGCTCAATTTCACGGAGCACCTGCAGCCAGTGCCACTAGCCACATTAATGGAACCACCCACCGCGGACACCCGCCTTCTGGTCAGCGGATGGGGTCACCAGGCGGAAGAGGGGGTCGGTTTCGGTGAAGAGGTGGGTGTGTCGCCGCATCTCCGCTTCGTCGACGTGGATCTGGTGGAGCCGGATCAGTGCCGCCGAGCCTATCGCCAGGTGCTGCCCATCACCCAGCGGATGATCTGTGCCGCGCGTCCGGGTCGCGACAGTTGCCAAGGCGACTCTGGTGGTCCGCTGGTGGGTTTCCCGGCGGAAGAAGGTCCGGCCAGGCTCTACGGCATCGTGTCCTGGGGACTGGGCTGCGCCAATCCCCACTATCCGGGGGTCTACACTAATGTGGCTGCCTTTCGCAATTGGATCGAAGCCCAAGTGGCCGCCAGGGGTTGGAACGGACTTCTGGCGGGATGGAGTGGGTTGCAATAGCCCGGAATGAAACATAACGCCAAAGAAATATAATTTTAAATATAATAAAAACTTATCATTATTACAAAATTGAATAATTAGAAAAAAAGACTTCGAAACTCAAATTAAATAAATTTAATAAAAATATACACTTGAGAATTGAAATTATTGCACGACAAAGGAGAGTTTTCAAAGAACGGTCGTTAATTTCTTTATTTTCGAGGACTTTGAATACTAAGGACACATTTTTTAGACCAATTATTATTAAGGCAATAAGATTATATTTTGAAAACTAATACTCATCTCAATTAAAAACAAAAGGAAACGTAAATTTATATTCAGAAATGAATAAAGTGTATTACCCAAATTTTAATGAAAAGATTTTATTTTGAACCATTTTTGAAAGATGGAGTAATAGGATTTGAGTTAAGAAAAATCATTGCACCATTAAAACTAGAAAATGTTAAAAATAATTATTCTAGGAATACTTCATATAATTTAGTAATTAAACATTCTGAAAATAACTCATTTAAAATAAACGCATTATTTTTTTGTCAAAAATATAAACTTTTTCCAACAATACATTTTTTTCAAAAAGCAAATTGTTCCCAAATAAACACATTTAATTTTTCTGTTCAATAAAATCTGAATTTTTTGTTGGGAAAACCCCATATACGTATGCATCGAACACGTTTTAGTTAAGTTGTGCGGCTAGCCGGCCTGATGTTTATTTTGGCCTAAGTGCATAAGTTACCTGATGCCGACCGCACCTCCCTTGGCCAGCTTTTCTTGCTGTGATTTCATTTGAATAAATCAATTGCCACATGCGCATTTGTTGCCACACCGACCGCAGCAACCACACATGAGACTAACAGACCTGGCCAAAACAGTCGGTCGGGCAGTTCGTCGGTCGCAGAGTCATTTTGTCAGTTTGCTACTGTGGTTTTCACACTTTTTTGGCAGGCCCACAGTTATCTTTGGTGTTATTTCAATTTCTGTTTTCCTTAGATGTTGGCCCACGGCCCGGAAAAGTCAACGAACTAGCAAACGCCAACCAGCGAGTCTATAAGCCTTTTCGCGTGGCCCGCGAAATTGGATTGCCTGTCGATGCTGATTTAGGCCTAATCTCGATATTTGGCTAATCGGCACACAGTCGGCCAATAAATTGCTCTGGCTTAAAAATCTAGGCACATTGGAAAGACTACTCACAATTCGCGGAGCCATAAATAAGCATGACAGTCAGAAAGTAAAAGGCGTTGGAAGTTGGGCAGTTGGCTAAGTGAAAGTCCTGTCGCGACTTCCAGCGTATTTATTTATTTCGCTTTTCCCAACAAATATTTATTTTGATGGGCGTTTTTAAAAGTTTTAAGTTAAGTTAAGTTTTAAGTTCTCTTTAGTGTTACATTTTTGCAATCTAAGAAATGTCACTAACACTAACTTGACGTTTTACGCAAAATATTTGTGAACATTTATAGTTTCTAGTTTCTAATTCAAGCTGTCCTGAACTCTCTTTGACTTTGAAATGAAAAGGGGTTCGGCTTCCTGTGTTCTGGACACTCTAACATGCGATTCAGGTTCAATCCGTATAGTTCTTCAGTTAGCCTTTTCTGTGAAGCAAAGTTTGGATGAAAGCGACATTTAGTAAAACTCAAAAATTAATTGAATGGCACTGAAATTTCCAAACCTTTTGGAAAGCATGACCCCTGGCTGAAAACTTGGCCAGGAAATCGGAACCGGTCTTTTGCAGTTCTTGATTTTGATCGTACATATGTGCTTATTAGTTCACAGAACCCCAAATAGATCCACAACTTTAAGCGTAGCATTTTTAAAAGTTGAAGGTCAAAATTAGTTCGGCAATAACTGTCATTTGCAAGCATCTAAGCACGAAAACATTTCCTAAATGTTTATGCCAATAATGAACAATACCGAATTTAATTACAATTGATTTTAAATTTATTTAGTAGAATCTTCTATACCCCTCAAAAATCGTTTTTTTTTTAAATTAAAAAGCAATCATTCTTTCATTAATTTATTAAGATCCTCTATACCTCCTCAAAAATTCTTATATTTCGTAATATGTAGCATTGTAGTAAATTAAAAAAATAATTATTGAATTCTAAATTCCATATATTTAGTAACATGTTTAATAAAACCATATTTGTTCTTTCATTTATATTTCTGCCTTTCTTATGTAAAATCATAATTAAAATGCATCTGGGTGCGGGTAAGTCAGTACCCGTCACCAGTGCTTTTTAAGCAGCCACCTGAGCTAACCGAATGAATCCCCTGCCTTTGCTCTGCTCATTGCTCACTAAACACGTCTCGATGTGTTTTTCGAGTTCTGTAACTCATTTGCAACTAAACTGGGTTCATTAAAGTTAATTTGAACGTGCAACATTGGCATGCCACGCAGTGTAGCAACAAGGTGAGGATGGGTGGAAAATCGGAAAATGGTGAGTGGTTGGATGGTGGGAAATGGTAGGATGGTTGGGTGTTCGGGTAGTTGGCATCTGGGGTCTCTGCACTCCTCTGGCACGTGGCTTAGCGTCTATAAGTTTGACATTTGCGCAACGCAAAATGACAACTGCAAACCCAAGTCCTGGCAGAGTTGCAAAATGAAAAAGTTGCCAACACTCTGCTGACATTTGCATTTGTCTTTGTGGGTAGCCGAGGGAGTTTCGAGGCATGGTCGAGGGGTAAGTAGCAAAAGAAAAACCTTTCAAATTAGGACCCAACTCCGGGAGTTCTTGTCGCACGTCTCGGCCAGGTAAAAGAAATATGCAAATAATTAGCTGCGTTGCAAAAATTGTATTCGTAAAGTTTGAGACAACCCCACAGTTTCTGTCACCAATCAATTTTATGTCCCCCCATATATACACACACCGACTTCTAGAATGTAGATATCCCTCAGGAAAGGCCAAAAACAAAGACATAAAGCGAACATTAGGGACATTTGCATTGCCAAGCGTCCTCCATCCTTTATCCCCTTTGGATGGCAGCTCCTCTAGACAGCTTTTGCACACTTTTCCGCTTTTGTTATTCCGCGTATTATGTGTTACCCATTCCTCGCCACATTCCACTCTCTTGTGCTTTTCCCCATGCATGCCACTTACATTTTACTTTACGCGCTTTTCCACGCAGAAGAAATGCAGGAAAATGGATGAGGAATGCCGGGTATCGCGGAAAAATTCCATTGGCGGCGAGCCGATTGCCTGATATGCTCCACTGGCTCGGGGGTATCACAAAGAAAATGCATGCAGATGGAAAAAATTTCCATGCGTTAGGTAAGTGAAAGGCTGGCAGTCAGGGATGTCCGGGAAAGTGGGAGTGCTGAGAAGCACTAAAAAGTATTATCTAAATGATAATTTGTTGCTTTGTTTGTTGAGTAATGTAATTTTATATTCCTCCCCCACGGCTTCTGCATAATGCACGATGGACATTTTCCGCTTCCTGTCTCTCATGAAATCCCTTTAAATCCAAGATATCAGACTTTGAAAAGCTAAACAAAAGTTTGAGAACGTGCATTCATATTTTATGAGTGTGTGGCAAAGAAATTCCGTGTCCTTTAAAATCCCTTAAATGTTTTTACTCTCTCATAGTTATGGATGGTTTTGTTCAATTCGGGGTAAAATATCTTATAAACGTGTCCGAAGGTATATATTGATTAATAATCACTGCAGACTTGTATACACCTTTCGAATTCATATTTCAGAATTGAATGGTTATTGTATTAATCAGGCAGAATTACCATTGACTCATTGATTCCATTGATTCAAGTTATGGTCATGTATAGGTATTACTTTGCTGCTCTCCTACGTAATGTTTGTCATCATTTAAGCACCATTTAGTGGACTATACTATTTTGTAAGACCGCAGAAAGTGGAATCAGATCAGCAGGAAATAAAGTCAGATGATGATGATGATACTACAATGGACCTGAATGTCGACCAATTGGCTCCAACCCCACCAGATTAGGTTGAAATAAGGAAGAATGCTACAATAGAGTGCCTTAACTATCAGATACCCCTTACTCAGGAGAGATGGAGATATGCAAGCAGAAAACCGACTCTTTCCGAGATTGCAGAGCGCCATCTAGTGGCGATTGCATTGTTTAGGGTCCCATATGAAGAATTTTTAGATATAGACATAGGTATTAATAAAAAAAAAGAAATCGCATTTACTCTTCTTCAAAATCTTTGGAAATGCGGGCGTCAATTGGCAATTTACACTACAATAATGACCTGTGAAAATCTGAAATAATTTCTAGTTACTTAACTTTAATCATTTCACAGTTGCCAGTTTAATTGAATACCCAAGGTCTAACTTTCATTTGATTTATTTGATTGGGATTTTAAGGGATTAGTTCGTCCGCAAGGGCATTATTGCTTCACTGAATTGTTTCACAGACACTATTTCAGTTTGCTCAGTCAACCCGCCCATTGAACTAAAACAAACAATGTTAAATTCACATAAGTTGTGTCAACTAACTAACAGCAAAACTATTTCGCATTACGCCCTAAAAGACAATCCAATTGAAGGGGATTGAATCGTTTTTGGGACCGCTTCACCTGCAGCACTCAGCTCATTCGGAATCAATTGGAATTGCAACGCAACTTGCAATGCAATTAAATGCCAAACAAAGTTGGCAAAATTCAATTTAAGAAACTAAAATCGCTGCCGTCTCATCTCGGACCTCTTGGACCCAAAACCCAATCTCCACATCTACGGATCGTTATTCCATCGGTTGGCCAGCTACTAGAGCTGCGGACAAGTCAAAGGCCGAAAGGCAAACGGCAAAAGGCACAAAAAGCCAAAAGCAAAGCTCTGAAATTCAATTCTGTTGCGCTCGATTGCGTTGCATTTCAATATAAATATTTATTTTATTTATAGAACCGAAGGAGGAGTGGCACACACAAATGGACAGAGCGACAAGTTGCAGCTGACAGTAAAAGATGTTGTGGAGCCCATTTGTTTTAGTCAATGGCAAGCACAAAGTCACTTCGGGTCCACTCAGCCAGTGG